GGTGATCGCGAGGTGCAGCGAACTATGTTGGAGCTGCTAAATCAATTGGATGGTTTTAGCTCAACTGCCGATATTAAGGTCATTGCTGCTACAAATCGAGTCGATATTCTTGATCCCGCCCTTCTGCGTTCTGGCCGCTTGGATCGTAAGATCGAATTTCCACACCCGAATGAAGAAGCTCGTGCGCGCATCATGCAAATTCACTCGCGCAAAATGAATGTCAGCAACGATGTGAATTTTGAGGAACTATCTCGTTCCACAGACGACTTCAATGGCGCACAGTGCAAGGCAGTTTGTGTAGAGGCGGGCATGATCGCTCTGCGTCGCTCGGCCACATCGGTGACACATGAGGACTTTATGGATGCTATCATGGAGGTGCAGTCCAAGAAGAAAGCTAATCTTAACTACTATGCTTAGACTAAAAATTCGCAAAATAAATTTACTTGTAATCTTGATACRTCAAAGAATTAATGAAGAAAATATATCTAACGGAAAGAAAATATTGAAGAGATTTATCGTTAGGAATCGTATCGCATGGATAAGCAGTTTTATCAGTACAACACATATATATTTTTTTGAGTAAGATATTTCTGATTTTTAAATATCTAAAAATTCCATTCAGAAATAATAAAAAATAGATGATAAATATTTACATGGTCACTAATTAAACTAGGATGATTAAACAATTTGTTAAGCCTAATCAGTGGGATCGAGTGTATTGYTGCTGCTGCTGCTGCTGCTTGTCCCTGCAGATGAGCTGCTTGTCGTTGCTGTTGGGGTGGACGTTTCGCTGCTAGACGTGGTTGCAGTCGTTGTAGTTATGGATGTGGATGATACTCCTGTTACGATTGTTGTTCCAGAAGAAGAAGCTGTAGCTGTGGTTGTAGCTGCAGCAGCAGCTGTTGCTAATGGAACTGCTTGTGCAGCATTTACGGGAACAGCTGCTATATCATTATCTAATGGCTGGGGGGGCTGTGCAGGCTGATCTGGCTGTTGGAATGGTCGTCTAGTGTACAATATTATGCCCAGCAGAAGAGTCAGTATTGTAATCATATATAAATCCCAATTGGCAGCAATGTTTTCATCCAAATAAAAGATGAATCTGTATGGCGACTGAATAACATCGGTTAGGATTGAAAACAAAAAGTGAAATGTGTGTAATTCTTACCTGCTTTATTGATTCAATCTTTGCTAGCATCTGAAGCTTGAATAACGCAATGGCCACAGGCACTTTGGCATCCGAGTTTGTTTCTGCTGCCAAATCATATAATCTTTTGGCTAAATGCCAATCCTTCTTCATGCCCAAACCTTGCTCGTGCATGTAACCCAAATTAAACATGGCCTGAGCGTTGTATTGCTGATCTGATGCTTTCCTGTATGTAAGGAAATAAATTGTAATKATAGACATTGAATGWTTTCATAACTACGYACCTGTAAAGAGCTGCAGCGGTTTCAAAGTCAGTTTTAGTMCCCCAGCCGTAGTAGTAGTAATCACCAAGCTTCACTTGAGCCGCCGAGTAACCCTGGTTAGCAGCTCGTTTCCAATAATAAAATGCACGAATCAAATCTTCATGCCGATCATTAAAGACATGCACCTCCTCGCGATCCAATAAGAAAGCAGCATTGCTCTGCGCCACCTCGTAACCAACTTCAGCCATTAGAGAATACTGCATGTAGGCTTCGTCAACGCGATTCTGTTTGTAATCACTGTAGGCGTGCATCAGTCTACTGCTCCAACGGCCACGCTCTGCCACGTTTTTGAAGAACTATGTGTTAAAAATATTTTATAAACAGAATTTGAATTGAAAAAGCTATCAGACCTGCCAAACGTACCTCAACAGCAGCTGGGCAAGATCGCAACATGCCCATTCCGTAGGCATGCATAATTCCTAAATTATAGTACGCCAAAACATGGCCGGACTGTGTGGCCAAATTGAAATACTTAAGAGCAAGCTTGTAGTCTGTCTTCACGCCATTGCCAGCTGGAATTAAAACAAAGTTTACATAAATTTCGTCATTTGACAAATATAAAAGTAAAACTCACTGAAGTACATGGTGCCAAGTTGCAATTGTCCGTCAACCCAGCCTTGATCAGCAGCCTGTGTAAAGTACGACAAAGCCTTGATGGAATCTTTAGGCACACCAAGACCTTTTAAGTACATTAGACCCAGGCCGCTCTGACCCACTGGATCACCCATTTCAGAAGCCTTTGAGAAGTACTGAAAATAAATTCGAACATTACAATTATATTTAAATTATCAGTTGYATGTGTGTGATTTTGTATACCTTAAAAGCYGTTTCGTTGTCCGCCTTGATTTGCTCGCTACCCTCCAAGTAGAGTTTGCCCAGAAATGCGAAACCTATGGCATTGCCCGCATTGGCAGCAAGTGTGAAATATTCCAATGCTTTTTGGTGATCCTGCTGAATTGCCTTGCCGCCTTGGTAGTACAACTGGCCTAAGCCAACCTGCGATTGCACATCGCCCTTGTCTGCGAGCAGCTGATAGTAGTCCACAATTTCAGTTTCATGACTGCCTGGATTTTCTAACTCATCCAGAAGTCGGACTCGATGAACAATTGGTCCGTTAGCGAAAGTTATCTTTGAGGCCACCTTTTTAGCCACACGCTTGTACTGAATTAACGACTTCTCACAGCTAGTTGGCACGTTGATGCCGTATAAATAGCGATAGCCCATGGCCATCTGGGCAAGTGTATTGTCGCCAAGTGCAGCAAGCGTGTAATGCAGTAGCGCCAGTGGTTGACTGACATTCTTGCCTCCCACTCCAACTGAATACAAAAATCCAAGACCCAAATGAGCTTCAGGAACTCCCTCGTTTGCCAAGGCCTCAAACTCCTCTGCGGCATGGTGAAAATCAAATGGCATCCAATGACCCAAGAGCATGGACCATGCCAGTTCAGCACGTGCCTTGAGATGATTGAAAGCAGCTGCCTTACGAAGCAATGTTAAAGCGACGCGCTTATCACTCCGCGGCTTGGCCAACATTTCCATAGCATTTTCGTAAAAACCTTGAGCTGCAATTAAACAAAATATTGGCCCACTGGAATACTTGTGTCATTCGAATCGCATACCTTCAATTTGGTCGGGAGTCAATTCGGTAAGTTCAGCGGGTTTKATTCTCGCTTCAATTGCTTCGATCTGAGCTTTTAGCTTTTGTTGTTTCAATAGACTGTCATTCCATAGGCGCTCAAACAATGCAGCTGGCATTACTTTTGTACGGGGCGCAAATTCTGTATCCTTAAGTTTGGCCGCTTTGCGGTCATTGCTCCCAGGTGCTGTTGCTGACGATGGTGGGTCAAGGGGAGGGGCTTTAGCATCTTTCTCGGCTGTCGTTATTTCGTCTCCTTCGGTATTGGGTTGACTATGTGCATCCGTGGGTTCGGTTGCTGCTGTCGCGCTGGCGATATCCGAAAGTGGGCCCTGCAACTCCGCCCGCAACAGCTGGCTGCATTGGAGGAATAGGAGCAACAAGATGCTCATCATGCTTGGCAGTCTCATCGTGAGGAACGTGTCTCTAGGTTTTCAGTAAAAAGATAAGTGCTAAATATACTTAAAATTTTTCTTGTTTTTTAGGTCTGACGTGTGTTATTTACTTTTTTTTTTGTGCACACACTGATTGTTTTTTCACCGTTTGGTAGGGCTTAGTGCTTCCAGTCCGTTTTATTGCTGGTGCATTTTTCAACAGTGCAGCAACTTTATGTGTTGTCCTATTTGTCTTTTGACAGCTTTAATTATTTTCACACGTAAGATTAAAGAATCTTTCATTTGTTGCAACAATAATTGATGTCTAGTGTTACCAACGTCGCATGGACAGAGATGAGCAAAAATGTAATGTGAAATCAGTGAACTATCCCCAGCTGATTTGATGAAGAGAACCATAAATTGTGAAATGATATTAAAACTAATTTTTGGTCTAAAATCTAGTACATAAACACAHACTAATTTAATACAACTTACATGTCATGCATCATTACATATATAATATAAGAATTAACTTAATGGGCTATTTGTATGTTGGTTACACATCGCGATAGCTGGGTAGATTGTCGTCTGCACCTACAATTGATATACCGGTATGCACACCTCTACGATGTTTCCAGTGTTAGAAAGTCTTGCAAAGATAATCTAGCCTTTTATTGTTGTCCCATTTCATAATGCAAATGACTGAAGCGGCAGCACGAAAATAAGAGTGATAATTTATGAATATACTAATTAATATACAAGGAAGCATTGTTTAGCTGTGACTCATTGATCTTTTGAACCAAAGAAGCAACACAAAAGCATGGAAATGAGTGTAAGTTACGGCAGCGACTGCAAGGTATCACATACTGGCATTGCGTTCAACAGCGTCAATAAAACCAGTTCCAAGCCGCGCTCCAACCGATTCAGACTGTCACGCATTAGGTTATTCATGCTAAACGTCGTAAGCTGGTGAAAGTTTCCAGCTGTTGCAGCCCATACGCTAGACCCGAACACGTAGAGCGTCAATTATTTATCCTTAACTTCTGCTCTCCCACCTGTGTATCAATTCAAGGCGGCAATGCTTGCACGGGTCTCCTTTTATCCAACGCTGCTCTACAATGTGCTCATGGAAAAAGCAACGTCAAGGAATTGGTACGATCGTATTGATGAAAATGTTATACTTGGAGCGCTGCCTTTCAGAAGCCAAGCAAATGACGTAAGTTGTGTTTGTTTTTTCGTAAGTGAATGTATTAAACATGTAATTTTCGATATTTGTGTTATATATAAGCTTAGAAACTTGTAACTGTGGTAGCTCCAAAAGATATATGATTAATCACATGCAATTTTTCTTGGCCAACAGTTAATTGAAAAGGAAAACATGAAAGCTGTCGTGTCAATGAATGAAGACTACGAACTTACCGCGTTTTCAAACGACTTAGTTAAATGGAAGGCTCTCGGCATTGAGTTTTTACAACTGGCCACCACAGACATATTCGAATCACCTAATCAGGACAAACTTTACCGTGGCGTTGAGTTTATAAATCGCTTTTTGCCACTCTCGAAACGCATACCGAAATTCGATTCCTCGCAATATGCTGAGAATATTGGTTCGGTTTATGTGCATTGCAAAGCGGGGCGAACACGGAGTGCCACCTTGGTGGGATGCTACCTCATGCTGGTACGTTTTGAAAAGAGCTGTCAGCTGTCTGATRACGAATCAAAGTTGTATAATTGTGCGTGTTTATTTTTAGAAAAACGGTTGGACCCCAGATCAAGCTGTTGACCACATGCGTCAATGTCGACCACATATCTTACTGCATACCAAACAATGGGATGCGTTGAGAATATTCTATGCAAATAATGTGGAGCCCCAGTCATGACCCAGCCCTGACTGATATGCTATATTCACTGCGTAACAAATGGCGCRCGTTTTTATTTTTGTTGCCTTTACCAAACTAATTAGTGTTAAGTAAAATTTTTGAATACAAGTTTGTTGTGTACGTGAGTCTCATTTTGTGTTACAAGTTATTTTAATTTACTGCTAATGACTAAGACCCAATCGTCGAATGGGTATACACAATAAACAAGTGGGCTATCCATTCACTGGTTGGTGTCCTTGCCCTTGATAGCCCAGAAGCGCTTGATTCCATTGGCCAAACCAATATCGTTCTTGATGAAATAAAACAGACCTCCCAACGCGGCTACTGACATTAAGATGAGAGCAATGTGAGCAACTTTTGGCACAACATTACCAACAACTGATGGGCGCAAGTAATCCACCACCATTGCCTCAACACCCCTATAAGTATATAAACAATGGTTAGGCAAATTATATCATAAACTCTTTTCTACGCATCTTACCAATGGGTGTGAATGACTACAGATATAGCCAAAAGGGCGTCCATGACTTGCGAAGGAGCAATGAATGCTGCTGGAATTATTGCCAGCAGGCCAGCAGACAATACGCGTTCAATAGTCCATAGACGAGTGTGACTGCCAGTTGCAGAAGCCATTCTTGGAGTGCTCACTGAAATCTCACGCATTACGATGGGCTGAAAAATTAATTAGGTGATCAAATCAAAATCTCATGGCATATTTACTAATAAGTACCGAAATTTGTTTAGCCAACGCCAGAGGCTTGATTCCAACTTGGCGTTGAGTATTGGCCACAATTGTGGAGTAAGCCTTCAATGGCGAGACACGCACGGATTTAATAAGTGTTGCAGCTGTCGGTGTGTCGTACGATGCCGTTATATAATGAGAACATTTGTCAGGTGAAATAAAACTCCATTTGCAATTGAATACTATACTCACCATTACCGCGAGCTGCACCACGCAGAAGTACAGAAGACAACATGTTTTATGTTTGTATTAGAAAATCAAAGTTTCGACGAAAATATAAAAACACTTGTTATTGGCTCGAACAGTCAACTACCGACATTTAGACTACTTTACAGCACTGACAAGTTTCATGCCTACTGCTTATCGATAAGGAAAACTATCGATTGAGTTATCGGCTCTGCCCAACATTCTTACGCATGTTTGAATATTATTTGGTAATTTGAAATATATACTTAATATTGCATAAACTTTTGAAAGAAAATACCAATATTTAAAAGTGCATTGAACTGCTTTATTTGTTTGTACAAAACATTGAGATTCGTTTGTGGACGGAATGTAAAAAGGATGTCGAAATTTTCTAACATTCTATTGATTTTATACTTACAAACTAGATCGATATGTTGTCAATTTGTTTAAGAATGTCGATTTGATTAAACATCGAAGGCACATTATTAAATATTAATAAAACGAGTTTTCTAGGCTGAAACATGAATGGACGGCACTGTAAAACCTATTCTACACTTATTAAGCGACTAAAAATGTAACTACCATATAAATTCCGGAAATGCCCAAGACAAAACTTGGGAAAGCCAAATGATCTGCGCCAGCTTTGTAAAAGTCCCATTCGAAGACAATGTTTGAAGCGTCTGATGGTCTCCAAGGATTTAAACCATCATCGAAATACATAGGACAATCGTCACGTTCACGTTCGTATTCAACGGCATCAATGGCGACTGCAGCGCCTTCGGAGTGATTCCATGAGGTAACGTCTTGGTTTAGTTTACAAAATGCGCCTACAGCCTGGGACATTAGGACTCGGTTTAGATCAGCACGTTGATACACCCAACAACGGTATTTAGATAGCGGATCCAAATCATCGTAAGTAATTAGGTATGACTTTAGATTTTCCTTCCAAAAGCCAATGCATTTCATACGGTAATCGGGATCACTGTATATATCAACAGGTCGCCCCAAATGATCGACAGACAAGCAATAGTTCTCATCGACGGCCAACTCCTTTTGGTCTGTGTCACAGACTGATAAATCGGATATGTTCTGCTTGCAGTGGATATCTGGACGAGGACTCAGTGTAACGCCACCAAGGATCCTGAAATAATCTTTGAATAAGTCGCATTTCTTCAAATGTTATTCAATTATAAACTCACCTCGTCTTAAAGGGATGTTCTCCCCTTTGTGTGAAATTAAACTTTCCAGCAACAGGACAACGGACAGGAACTGGGTTTTTCGCCAAGAACAAATCATATTTCCAGGCCTCTGAATTTGGAAATTGTACCCAGGAGCAAACTGTACTGAAATCATCTTTAATAACAGCTAAGCCCTTACGATATCGTATGATATTGTGGTGCCTGGGCATAAAGTCAAAGCAAACATAATCCTTTTGACAACCATCGACAGTAAGACGCGCCATCATAACACGATTGCCACGACGTTCACGGCACACGTAAATTGTCTTCCGGTATCGAGCCCTATCAGGATAATATGTCTCATTGATGTGGGTTTCACTAATGGACACATCTGCATCAATGTTGGCGGTATTCACCCATTCGCCAGAAAAGTTCTGAGGCAGTGTGCAACCGGGCTCAACAAACTCWGCTTTCACTGGTGTTAGTTTAAGACGCTCGGGCGAGTTTTCCGGGGTCTTGAGAGTATTGCACTCAGCAGTAATGGAGACACCCACATACAGATCATCATCTCGATTCTTGAGGAAGCAACGGTATTTTTCATCCTTACGTGATTCTTTTGTATTGGCAACAGCAAAATAATGATTCTTTCCCACAAACCAATCGCCGAGGCAGCTGAACTCCACAGTTCCAGTAAACGTGCCCTCCATGCCCTCACACTTCTGATAAGTAATGTTAAACTTTTGATTCTGGATAAGAAATTGTGTGCCAGCAGTCTGGCACGATTGGATGCGTGCATCTGGCTTGTTACAGACGCCCGTAAAACGGAATCGATTCTAAGAGCAAATTAAATTAAAATTAAAATTAATTAATTATAGAATAAAAGAAAAACTTGCCTGATATGTAAAATGCCAAACGCCCTCAAGAGACGAACGACAATTAATTGGCACAAAGTTTTCATTGAACAGTGTTATTAACTGCTGATCATCCTTAATTCCCTTGCAAACATTGTTCACTGTGGGCTCCTGGCCTGGTGGCAAACCGACACACGGCCCCTCAAACTTCTCAAAGATGTTGAGCGTACGTATTATTGTACGCAC